ACCAGCATATAATTTCATCTTCATTATAAGATCCCAGAGCACTGTAGCCACCTTTGAGTATAAACATTTAGAAAATATTTGTCAATTTGTTAGGTAAGAAATACTTTGCTTCAGTCTGAATTTGAGACTGAATTATTTTTTCCATGAGTCAGTCATTTGCAGTTGTTTTGAAAATTTTAAAAGTCAGTTCCTCAAACACGTTTTTCTTCTCTCTGATCCACTCTTTTATAATCACAGGAACCTTCAGTGCTGAGTAGGTGACAGTTGTCCAGTGATTGTTGCAGAAGATCATTAATTCCCAATCAAATTTTGACTTGAATATTGGAATTAAATTTTATTTTGTATTTTTATTTTATTTTAATTTTTAGTAGAATGATTTATGCTGTTGGGTGCTGTAGAGTCAAGTCTGACTCAGCAACCCCGTGTGACAGAGCAGAACTGCCCCACAGAGTTTTCTTGGCTGTCATCTTCATGGGAGCAGATCTCCAGGTCTTTCTCCCACAGAGTCGCTGGGTGTGGGTTTGAACTGCCAACCTTTAGGTTAGCAGCTGAGCTCTTAACCATTGCGCTTTTGTAATCTGCTTGCAGTTACATTTGTTTGAGCTGCCATTACTTTGCATTGTGAGTTTTCTATTTTCTTGGCATGGTCAAGTAACAAAAATTCTAGTTAATGCTTGCTTGCTTCATATTGCCAGAGATTCCAGGTATTTTCATTAGTGGAACATAAAAGCAGAGTGTAATCAGATTGCATGGATTATTTATAAGAGATTTGAGTGAAAAGATTCATTTGTAGTTTAAGAATAACTGGAGTCAGATGCCTATGGAGGTTTTTATTCACAATAAGGAGCCCTGGTGGCACAATCGTTAAGCACTTAGCTGCTAACCAAATGGTCGGCAGTTCAAACCCGCCCACTGGCTCTGCAGGAGAAAGATGTGATCTGCTCCCGTAAAGATTACAGCCTTGGAAACCCTACGATGAGGGAGTTCTTCTGTCACGTGGAGTTGCTATGAGTCAGAATCAACTCAGCAGTAACGGGGTTTTTGGTTATTCAAAATAATTTATTAATCTTGGATAGTTTTCTGTCATAGTAATGCTACTTTTAGGATATTTACCCTAAAGAAATAATCAAAAGTGTGGACAGATATGTGCCCAAAGATGCTTATCACGATATTAGTTGCAATAGTGAAAAAAAGAAACAACCTAAATGTCCAACAGTATGGTTCAGTCAGAGTGTAATAACTAGCCTGCAGAGTTTTTAATGAAGCCAGTTTGTGTGAAAAAGCAAATATGAATCATACATGATGTCATCAAAGACCCCCTCCTCCCGCATACTCCCCCCAAAACAGACTTACCCGTTGCCGACCCGTTGCCATCGAGTCGATTCCGACTCCTAGTGAAATAGACTTAGAAGGAGGAAAATGCACCAAATGTTGGTTTGGGAAATAATCATAACTTTAATTAAGACCCTCTAGAAATTTATCGGTTCTATAACCTAAGTTCAATTAAAGGTATGCAAAGTGAAATAAATGAATTAGATGTTTTCTCTAGCATCATTAGTAGTTGCACGAAAGATAGCTTTATGTGTTTCAGAGATAAGCAGAATATCTGACAGGCTAGCTGTTTTAAGCCTGTGATGATTTGGGTGAGAATGGCTTACACTGAGGTTTTACCCATGCACAACGGCTTTGGCCCAGGCAGTGAGTACTAATGATACTGTGTGGATAACAAATATTGAGGGAGTGTATGGTAATACCATAGAGAGAAGAGAAAGAATTAAGGACATTCCGTGTTTTGCACTTTGTTTCTGATTGCAAAATTTTATTGACTCTAAGAGCTCGACCGCTAACCAAAAGGTCGGCAGTTCAAATTCACCAGCTGCTCCTTGAAGACCCTGTGGGGCAGTTCTACTCTGCCCTGCAGGATCGCTATGAGTTGGAATCGACCTGATGGCAATGGTTTTTTTTTTTTTATGGTAACACCATAGAGAGAGGAGGAGAGCATTTTACGTTTTGCATTTTTGTCTCTGATGAACTTTTTTTTCGCAGATTTTATTCCAGACCTTAATTTTAAAGGTCTTTGAATGATGTATAATTTACGTACATAAAATGAGCAGATCTCAAGTGATCAGTTCAGTGAGTATTGACAGTTCTATATATCCATGTAATCACTACCAAAAACAAGATCTAGAATATTCTACCACCTCAGAAAGTTCTCTGGTGTCCCTTTGCAGTCAACTCAACACCCCCCTCCTCCAAAAAACAACCACTTTCACATATCTATGGCTGTAGATTATTTTTGCCTGTTCTCAGACTTCGAGTATATGGAATCATTATGCAATCTGTATACTTTTGTTTCTGGGTTATTTCACTAAACGAGATGTTTTTTATATTTATCAATATTGCATGCATCAATAATTTGTTCATCTTTATTTCTGACTAGTGTTCCATTGTATAGATGTTGTTGTGTGTCAGTGAGTTGATCTTGACTAACAGCAACCTTATATGACAGGGTGGAACTGCTCCGTAGGTTTTCCTAGGCTGTGATCTTTACAGGAGCAGATTGCTAGGTCTTTTCTCCTGCAGAGGGGCTGGTGGGTTCGAACTGCCAACCTTTTGGTTAGCAGCCGAACACTTAACTATTGCACCACCAGTGCTCCTTATTGTATAGATACACCATAATTTATTTATCTATTCTCCTGTTGGTGGACATTTGGGTTGTTCCCAGTTTTTTATTGTTATGAATTAAGGCTGCTATAAATATTGTACAGTTTCGGTCGGGAGTGGATCTGGTGAACTTTTAATTCTTGCTAGTGTCTTAATTTTTGGTGGACAAGTATAAATTGATGAGAAATTGATAATGTTCTATATTTTGTTTTTAGATGAAGATTGTAAAAAACTTACTTCAGAACTGTTTGCAAAGATAGATGCCTGCCTGAATGAAGTCAGAGATGAAATTTTTGCTAAACTTCAACCCCAACTTCGATGCACATTAGGTAAGTTGTGTAATTTAACTGTATTGCTCATCTACCATAAAGAAATACTTACATCATAAAGAAGTATAATACTGTATTATTACTTTGAATGATCAGATTCTTGGGAAAGAAAATCTGGGCAGTTTGGCTTAAGAATCTACCACTGGTTAAATCATTGGTGGACGGGACTGTTCCATATAAATATGCAGTCTGGTGTTGCACCCCTAAAGAGTGGGTCAGGGACACAGCATTGGTTGCCTTTCCAGCACTTTCTCCTTCCTTTAGTAGATTATTCCATCATTTTCAGCCATAACCGTTCACAGGAAGAGCACCCGGGGAATTTAAAAGTAAATCCCAGTGCTAAGGGCCCATTCCAGGTCAGTTAATTCAAAATCTTGCAGGTAGAGCTCAGGGATCAGTAACTTCTAGAAGATCCCTTGTGATTCTTACATGTGGACAGGGCAGCAAGACTCTGATCTAAAACAACCATAGTCATTCTACATCCCTTGCCAGTGATTGGTTAGGAATGGACGTGTACAGTTTTGGCCAATGGGATATGAGGAGAAATACGCTGATCACCTTCAGGGAAGGTTTTCTCGTCTTTAAAAAGGGTTTTGTTCTCTGTGACATTGGTTTTTGACCTTTAGAAGCAGAGTGGAGCACGGAGCTAGAGTCTCCTTGACTTTCTAAATTTTTTTTTATATTACAAAAAGGAGCTGCTTGGTTTTTTTTTGCGGGGGGGAGGGAGTTTTTTATTTTCCTTTTATCTTCATATTAATTTTTCTAATAATATTGTATCATAGTAGCAGGATATATGATACCCACTATTATTATATTGTGTTGTATGCCGACAAGTCGATTCTAACTCGTGGCGACCCCATGTGACAGAGTAGTACTGCCCCATAGGCTTTTCTAGGCTATAATCTTTAGGGGAGCAGATCTCCAGGTCTTTTCTCCCACGGAAGCCACTCGGTGGGTTCAAACAGCCACCCTTTGGGTTAGCAGCCAAGCACTTAACCAGGGCTCCTTACTATTGTATTAGCCGTATTAAATTATGTAAAATATCAGTGCTTCAAGTTTTTCTTTCAGAGTGGCAACTTTTTCATCAGACCCAGATCTTTTATCCGTAAGCATTGTCTTATCCACCATACTTCTTTGTCCCACAGTTCTGTCCCTTAGTTTTTCTACTTTGTATTTCATGGCCTCCTCCATACTTGGTTTTTAAAATAATAAACTGATTTTCCATATGCCCCTTCTCTGGCATGGCTACCTCTAGGTCGAGGCTGTTCTAATTTATCATCATCAGGTGGGATATCAGATGGGATGATTTTTTTTTTTGTTTTTATTAAAATATAACTTAATACTGTAAAGTTGACCCTTTTTAGTGTTCAGTCCTGTGAAATTTGACAGACATGAAGAGTTGTGTAACCACTATCACAAGATACGGAACACCCTAACATTTTTCCCCAGGCTCCCTTGTGGTCAGCCCTTCCCTGCACTCCCAGTCCCTGACAACCACTGGTCTGCTGGGGGAATACCCATTTCAAAGGAGCCTTCTCTCTGAGATCCCTGGATTATAGACTGAGGGGCTTCCATGCCGCATTTGCAGGTATCATTTCCCTCCCAGTGACTTTGTTGGTTTATTCAGGGCCGCTGCTGTAGTTCCCAGATGAACTAAAGAGTGTTTTCTCCCCTAGTCTGAATCACCACCCTCCGTAGCCCTGATGATGATATTTGGTACAAGGTTGTATCTTGCTCCACCTCCACCCTGGACCTGGTTTTCTGGGTAACAGAGAGAGGTCTTGTATTTTGTGTGATCATAACAATTGGGCAAGCATACAGTTCTACCAGTACAATAGAATCCCTTTCTTGTTTGTGTGCTACCCGTTGAACAGTGATAGGCTGCTGAGACGCTGGTTAACGATAAACCGAAAAACCAAACCCGTTGCTGTTGAATCAATTCCAACTCATAGCCACCCCATATGACAGTAAAACTGCCCCATCGGGTTTCCAAGGCTATAATCTTTATGGAAAGAGTCCTGCTGGTGCATTGGTTAAGTGCTCAGCTGCTAACCGAAAGATCAGCGGTTCTAACCCACCAGCTGCTCTGTGGGAGAAAGATGTGACAGTCAGCTTCTGAGAATTGTATGTATTATAGACCTGAAGATTCTATGCTGTCATATAAATAGAAATATGATTTTTTTTCCAGCTAATACGTAGTTAAAATAGAATTACCATTTAAGGGCTAATGACTAATTACAAAACTAGTGCTATACTGTGTACTGTTTATGCCTATGGTGTTGCATTTTTTTTTCATTTTGAGGAGATTGTTTTATATTTATTTCTATTTATAAAAAAAGATACTGTTAGGATTTTAATGTTTCTGTACAAAAATAGCGACAGGACCATAACGCAAAGGTGACTCTTAAAATAGCCGTGGTAACTACTAGTATTTGTAGAATCCGCTCAGGCAGTAACACCTACTGTTCTTCCCTTTGGTCCTGCGGTTGTTCCGGCAGCCATGGTTCCAGGCTTGGGGAGGGCTGGAAGCGGTGCTCTGTCCCAGTGGAGGGAGCCACTGGGAGGACTCAGATTCTCTCTAGGACCAAATCAGTAAGGCAGCTTCTTAAGGTCCCCAGAGGGCTGACAGGAGAGAAACCAATTGGAGAATGAGTATCAAAGAGGGAGAATGTAAATCCCACTCCTGTTTAACTTGCTTGCTGTGCTCAGAACTGGAAGCCAACATTCACAGTTCAGTTTTTGTTTGGTTTTAATGACAGTAAAATTCATATCTCCTCTAGCTTTAAAGTTGCTAAAGTTTGAATAGTAAAGGAAAGGCTTAGACTGAAAGATTGAGAAGAATGAGAGATGAGGAGTCAGAATTTGAAGTTGGCATTGAACCCTCTAAGGTGCCCTGGTGGCATAATAGTTAAGCACTTAGATGCTAACCAAAAGGTCAGCTGCTCCACGGGAGAAAGACCTGGCAATCAGCTCCTGTAAAGTCAGAATAGGCTTGTCGGCAGTGGGTTTTATTGAACTGTCGTGTGTCCTGCCCTCTCCACGTGTAGAAGCAGATTTGAATAGAAATGGTATTTCAGTGCTTTCCTTCACCTTTGAAGTTATTCCACATTGTTTTCCTAGTTAAATTATCTTACTATCTGTAACAAACCATTTACATAATTTTTGTTTTAATATTACTCTAGGGCTATTATAGTTGTGAGGAATTTTTTTTCCCCTGAGAAAAGCTAGAAAGATCTTAGAAGACAGTATGGGTCTTTGGTCACAGAAATTTTCATAAATGTCCACTAAGAAGGTAAGAAAATGAAAGATGGAGACTAGGGTGATAATTACATCTTTATTGCTAGGTTTTTTCAAGAAAAATGCTTTAAACACCACCACCCCCCCAACCTCTCCACCCCCCACCCCCCCGTTGTGAATGGCTTACTCCAGGAATATAGGGAGAAAAGACAACAGTTGATCTTTTTAGTTTACTTTTTTCAGTTGTTAATTATGAGCAGTAATATTTTGCTTTTCTCTTTGAAGGTGATATGGAAAGTCCTGTGTTTGCATTTCCCCTGCTCTTAAAAATAGAGCCTCACATTGAAAAGCTCTTCTTGTATTCTTTCTCTTGGAACTTTGAATGTTCCCAGTGTGGACACAAATATCAAAACAGGTTAGTTTTTCTGATTCTTAAGACAGATTCATTCCGAATAAAAATGGCTCAGAGTAATAAACTTTGAATAAAACTTGCTTGCACCTGTAACACTGCTCTTCTCTCTCTGTCTCTCGGGTGCTTTAAGTTGTCTTTGAACACAAGGTGATGAGTGCAGTTTGGAGGTGTATAGAAAAAAAAAACAAAACTATTTCATTAAATATATTTTAATATGTCATAGCTTCAAATTTATTTCTCCTTATTCTGAAGGAGGAATATCCCACAAATTATTTTTTTGTTTTTGTTCTGCTGTTTTTAGTGCTGGTTTAAGAGTGTTTCTTTTATTTAGAAAGTGTATTCTGGAGACAGTTAAGAGCATGGTCTTTGGAGTCAGACTCCCTGGATTCAAGTCTGCAGTCTGTCATTTATCATCTGATGTGCACTCTGTATTTTCAGCTTCCTCAGTTGTAAATGGGGATAATAATAGTACCTGCCACTTAGGGTTGTTCTGAAAATTAGTGCCTAGCACAGTTCCTTGCATGTAGTAAGTGCTCAAAAATGTTAGTTGTTATTTGGAGCACTAACACTTATTTCCTGAGACAAACTCCCTTTTATAAACTAAAAAATAGGTACCCTTACTTTGTAATTATCTTTGAGAACCAAGAATTTAGCAGAAACGCAGTCAACGCATTTGTTGATATCTTTATGTTGTTGCTTTGCTTTCACAATGTTAGCTCTCCTGAGACCTGATCTGTTTTTAATGGCTATTGCTTACCTTATTTGCGATTTGTCACTAATTGTTTGAAAAAGAAGCTAGTGTCTCTTATAATACGTAATTGTTTTTTTTTCAAGCTATTAGATTTTCTTTTATTTCCCTTCATTGAACATGTATTCCTGTTTTAATGTGTTTAAAATTTGTTGAATAGATGCTGAATTTTTTGTTTGCATATTTATTTTATGTACTTGTATATATAATTCTGCATCTTTTGAACACTTAGTGTTTTAACGTGCATTTTCCATGTTAATATCAATTTCTCAAACATTACATCATAATATTTGACTGAATAACAAACTACTGTTTTCCAAACTATTCTGTTATGGAAAGTACTTTTTCCACGAAGTCACACTGACTCTGAATGTAGAAGAAACCTCTTGAAGTTAACCTCCTTCAACTTTAACCTGCTTCTGGGCACATGGGGGCTAAATAAGTCCATGTTGCTTGATGGGTTGTCATTGTTAACTTTTTTTTTTTTTTTTTAAATTGTGGTGGTGGTTGTTGTTAGGTGCCGTCAAGTTGGTTCTGACTCATAGTGACCTCATGTACAACAGAACGAAACACTGCCTGGTCCTGCTCCATCCTCACAGTCGTTATGTTTGAGCCCATTGTTGCAGCCACTGTGTCAGTCCATCTCGTTGAGGGTCTTCCTCTTTTTTGCTGACCCTCTGCTTTACCAAGCATAATGTCCTTCTCCAGGGACTGGTCCCTCCTGATAACATGTCCAAAGTATGTGAAACATAGTCTCCTGTCATGGCTTTTAAGGAGCATTTTGGCTGTACTTCTTCCATGACAGATTTGTTTGTTCTTTCGGCAGTCCGTGGTATGTTCAGTATTCTTCGCCAACACCCTAATTCAAAGGCATCAATTCTGCTTCGGTCTTCCATATTCATTGTCCACCTTACAAATGCATAGGAGGCGATTGAAAATACCATGACTTGGGTCAGGTGCACGTTAGTCTTCAAGGTGACATCTTTGCTTTTTAACATTTTAAAAAGGTCTTTTGCAGGAGATTTACCCAATGCAGTGCATTGTTTGATTTCTCGACTGCTGCTTCCAAGGGTGTTGATTCTGGATCCAAGTAAAACGAAATCTTTGACAACTTCAGTCTTTTCTCTATCATGATGTTGCTTATTGGTCCAGTGTGAGCATTTTTGTTTTCTTTATGTTGAGGTGCAATCCATACTGAAGGCTGTAGTCTTTGATCTTCATCAGTAAGTGCTTCAAGTCCTGTTCACTTTCAGCAAGCAAGGTTGTGTCACTGTATATTGTAGATTGTTAGTGAGTCTTCCTCCAATCCTGATGCGCTGTTCTATTTGCTCAGCATACAGATTGAATAAGTATGGTGAAAGGATGCAACCCTGATGCACTCCTTTCCTGCCTAAACCATGCAGTATCCCCTTGTTCTGTTTAAATGACTGCCTGTTGGTCTTTGTACCGGTTCCTCATGAGCACAATTAAGTGTTCCAGCATTCTCATTATTCGTAATGTTATATATGTAATAATTTGGTATGATCCACACAGTCGAATGCCTTTGCATAGTCCATAAAACACAGGTAAACCTCTTTCTGGTATTCTTTGCTTTCAGCCAGAATCCATCGGACATCAGCAGTGATATTCCTCATTCCAGGTCCTCCTCTGAATCTGGCTTTAATTTCTCACAGTTCCCTGTCCACGTACTCCTGCAACCATTTTTGAATGATTTTCAACATAATTTTACTTGTGTGTAATATTATATTGTTTGATAATTTCTGCATTCTGTTGGCCTCACCTTTCTTTGGAATGGGCACAAATATAGGTTTCTTCCAGTTGGTTGGCGAGGGAGCTGTCTTGCAAATTTCTTGATGTAGATGAGTGAGCACTTGAGCACTGTGTCCATTTGTTGAAACATTTCTATTGATATTCTGTCAATTCCCGGAGCCTTGTTTTTCGCCAATGCCTTCAGTGCAGTTTGAACCTCTTCCATCAGTACCATGGGTTCTTGATCATATGTTACCTCCTGAAATGGATGAATGTCAACCGATTTATTTTGGTACAGTGATTCTGTGTATTCCTTCCATCTTTTGATGCTTCCTGCATTGTTTAATATTTTCCCCATAGAATTCTTCAATATTACAACTCAAGGCTTGATTTTTTTTTTTTGCCCCCTTCAGTTCTTTCAGCTTGAGAAATGCTGAGCATGTTCTGCCCTTTTGGTTTTCTAACTCCAGGTCTTTGCACATTTCATACTTTGTCTTCTCGAGCCACCCTTGAAATCTTCTGTTCAGGTCGTTTACTTCATCATTTCTTCCTTTTACTTTAGCTACTTGATGTCCAAGAGCAAGTCTCAGAATCTCTTCTGACATCCATTTTGGTCTTTTCTTTCTTCCCTGTCTTTTACGATGTTAGCTGTGGGTTTTCCATAAATGCCCTTTATCATATTGAGGAATTTCCCTTGTATTCCTAGCTTGTTGAATTTTTATCCTGAAAGGGTGTTGGATTTTATCAAATGCCTTTTCTTCATCAATTGAGATGATCATTTGGGTTTTTTCTTTTGTTTTATTTATGACTGATTTTCTAATGTTGAACCACCCTTGCATTCCTGGGATAAATTCCGCTTGATTATGGTGTATAATTCCTTTAATATGCTTTTGGGTTTGGTTTGCTAGTATTTTGTTGAGTTTTGCATTTATATTCATGAAAGTAATTGGTCTGTAATTTTCTTTCTTTTTGTCTTTGTCAGGCTTTGGTATCAGGGTAATGCTAGCCTCATAGAATGAGTTAGGAAGTTTTCCTTCCTCTTCTATTTTTTGGAAAAATTTATTTAGGATTGGAGTCACTTTTTCTATAAAAGTTTGATAGAATTCCCCAGTGAAGCCATTTGTTCTAGGGTTTTTCTTTGTATGGAGGTTTTTGATTACTGATTCAATCTCTTCAGTTGTTTATGTGTCTTTTGTGATCTTCTGTTTCTTCTTGAGTCATTGTAGGAAGTTAATGTGTTTTATCGATTTGTCCATTTCTTCTAAGTTATCTAATTTATTGACATATGATTGTTTATAATAGTCTCTTACCCTTTTGGTTTCTGTAGAGTTGGTTGTAATGCCTCCACATTTCTAATTTTAGATATGAGCATCTTTTTTTCTTTGTCAGTCTAGCTAAATGTTTGTCAATTTTATTGATCTTTTCATAAAACCAACTTCTGATTTCATTGATTCTCTGAATTGTTTTTCTCTTCTCTATTTCATTTATGTTTGATTTGATCTTTGTTATTTTCTTTGGTAGTGTTGGGCTTGCTTTGCTCTTCTTTTCCTATTTCTTTGAGTTGTAAATTTAGGTTATCAATTTGAATTCTTTTTTCTGTTTTAATGTAGACTTTTACTGTTATATTTTACCTCTGAACACTGCCTTTGCTCCATACCATAACATTTGGTATATTGTGCTTTCCTTTTCGTTCAAATCTTAAGTGTTCTCTGATTTCTCTCTTGATTCCTTCTTTGATAGATTGGTTGTTTAATGGTGTGTTGATTAATTTCAACATATTCGTGTATTTCTGTTTTCTTTGTTATTTCTAGTTTCCTTCCATTGTGGTTGGAGAAGATACTTTGTATAATTTCAGTCTTTTGATATTTATTGTGACTTGCTTTGTGTCCTAAGATATGGTCTATCCTGGAGAGTATTCCATGTGCACTGGGGAAGAATGAATATTGTGC